CTGCCAGCCTGCTTGTCCCCAACTGCCCCCCCTGCCAGCCTGCTTGCCCCCAACTGCCCCCCCCCTTGCTGGCCAGCTTGCGCCCAACTGTCCCCACCCACTGACCTGCTTGCCCCCAGCTGTCAACCTCCCCCACCATCCTGTTCGCCTCAACTGCCGCCCCCCCCCCCCCCCGCTGGCCTGCTTTGCTCCCAACTTCCCCCCCTGCCAGCCTGCTCACCCAACTGCCCCCTCCTCCCCCTGACGGCCTGATCACACCTAACCGCCTCTGCCTCGGCCCTGTCACCATGGCTTTGTCCAGAAGGACATCCAGAAGATCTCCCGGTAGGTCTCCCAGTCTAATTAGCATATTACCCTTTTATTAGTATAGATACCCATATAATGGCAGGCTCCTTGTGGTCTTTCTGGTCTTGTTTGAGTCCTCCATCCTTAGGAGACCTGCCTTTTGCCTTTTATTATGCCTGTCTCCATGACACCTGTGAGACACAAAGGAGGGTGTGTTTCCATCTCCTAGGAGGCCTGACTGAGTAGTAAGTGGACTTGAAAAATACCACTCCCCACAGCTCCTTGTCTACTGAGGAATCCAGATGTCTAATTAACTAATATTGGTGCTAGGTGTTCGAAATTCTTATCAGTGTGTGGCTGGCTAGAGAATTTCCTTTTCATTTTGGATGTGCCTACTAGATTTGTTGTTCTCAAATTTTGATGAACATCAGAATCCCTTAAGAAAGTTGTTTAAAATACAGATCCTGGAATCCAGCTCAGGAGAAGGAGGAGGAAGAAGAGGAGGAGGGGGAGGAGGAAGAGGAAGAGGAAGAGGAGGAGGGGGAGGAGGAGGAGGTGGTGGAGGAGGAATAGGAGGGGGAGGGGAAGGGGAGGGGGAGAAAAGAAATGGGTATAAAAATGGCAATAAATAAGCACCTGTCAATAATAACCTTCAATGGAAATGGATTAAATGCTCCCATCAAAAGACATAGGGTAGCTGAATGGATAAGAAAACATGACTCATATATATGCTGTCTACATGATACCCACCTCATAACAAAAGATTCACATAGGCTTAAATTGAAAGGATGGAAAAAAAATATTCCATGCAAATGGAAATGAATAAAAAGCTGGGGTAGCAATACTTGCATCTGAAAAAAATAGACTTCAAAATAAAGGCCATAACAAGAGACAAAGAAGGTCACTACATAATATTAAATGAATCAGTCCAACAAGAGGAAATAACCCCTGTAAACATATATGCACCAAATATAGGAGCATTTACATATATAAAGAAAACTCTTCATGGACTTCAAGGAAGAGATTGGCAGCAATATAGTCATAGTAGGTGTCTTTAATACTCTACTGTTATCACTTTTTAGATCTTCCAAACGAAAAAATCAACAAGGCAACAGTGACCTTAAATGACACTAGATCAAATGGACTTAATTCATATTTACAGAACATTCCAAAAGCAGCACAATATACGTTCTTCTCAAGTGCACATGAAACATTCTCAAAAAGAGACCACATGTTATGACACAAAATAAGTCAACAAATTCAAGAAGATTTACATTCTATCAGTCACTTCTTGGATCACAATGGCATGAAACTAGAAATAAACTACCAAAGAAAAAAACACCCTCAAAAACATTCAAACACATGGAAACTAAATAGCAGGTTATTAAACAACGAATGGGTAACCAAATAAGATCAAGGAAGAGCCCTAACGGGTTTGGCTCAGTGGATAGAGCATCAGCCTGCAGACTGAGAGGTCCCAGGCTCAATTTCGGTCAAGGGCATGTGCGTTGGTTGCGGGCACATTCCCAGTGGGAGGTGTGCAGGAGGCAGCCGATCGATGTTTCTAACTCTCTATTCTCCCTTCCTCTATGTAAAAAATCAATAAAATATATTTTTAAAAAAAGATCAAGGAAGAAATTAAAAAATTACCTGGAAACAAATGAAAACAAAACACAAACAATTGAAAATGTATGGTACAGACCAAAAGCAGTCCTGAGAGGGAAGTTCATAGCATTACAGGCCTACCTCAAGAAGCAAGAAAAATCTCAAATAAGTAATCTAACCCTACACGTCAAAGAACCAGAAAAAGAACAACTAACAAAGCCCGGAGTAAATAGAAGGAAGGAAATAATAAAAATCATAGGGGAAATCTATGACATAGAGACTAAAAAAACAACACAATACAAAAGACCAATGAAACCAACAGCTGGTTCTTTGAAAAGATAAACAAGATTGATGAACCTTTAACCAGACTAAACCAGAAAAAAAGAGAGAAGACACAAATCAATAAAATCAGAAATGAAAGAGGAGTGGTAACAACTTACTGCACAGAAATACAAAGGATTGTAAGAAAATACTATGAACAACTATATGCCAACAAATTGGACAACCTGGCTGAAGTGGACAAATTCCTGGAAACATACAATCTTACAAAACTGAATCAGGAAGAACCAAAAAACCTGAATAGCCTGATAATAACTAATGAAATTGAAGCATTAATTTAAAAAGTGTCAACAGTCCGACCAGCATGGCTCAGTGGTTGAACATCGACCTATGAACCAGGAGATCATATGCCCGGGTTGTGGGTTCGATCCCCAGTGGAGGCTGTGCAGGAGGCACCCGATCGATTATTCTCTCTCATTATTGATGTTTCTATCTCTCTCTCCCTCTTCCTTCCTCTTTGAAATCAATAAAAATATATAAAAAGATAAAATTAAAAAAAAACCCGCCAAAAAAAAAGATTGCCTTTCAAAATAAAAGCCTGGAATTGCTGCAGACATTATTGATTACCTCACTAATATCCACTTTGGTCTTCCTTGATTGTTTAGTACCTATGTCATTTTGGTGAGATTGACTCCACCTCCTACTTCAGTGATGGTGCTTGATTAGCATAAGCCAATTAGTCAAATGGTTCCATTTTACTAATGTGATTGTTTATGAAATAAGTATATAATCTGGATTTAAGACAAGTGGGCATAGTGTTATCTTTGTCCATATTACAAAGGCAGGCAAATGAGCTATGTTGGTCCCAATCAAAGCAGAACACAATTTTGATCAAAAGTTGTTGTAATTAATATAATATAGAAGCTCAAATGGAATTTTTAAAAGTTGCTGTAAAGAGCTGCTCTCTGTTACTGTACACGAATAAGGAAGCATATACTCCCAAAGTTGTCAACAACCATATTATAAACTTCAGGATAAAACTGACATGAGAGAAAATAGAAGACAGAACCCAACTTGGGTTTGAGTGGCATCACTGAGTATATTCATTCATTAGGGCTGCCATAAAAAAAGCATGAAAGACTCAGTGGCTTAAACCACACAAATTTATCTTGTCACAGTTCTGGAAGCTAGGTGTCTAAGGTCAAGGTGTCTCCAGGGTTGACTTTTTTCTGAGGCCTCTCCCCTTGACTTGTATATAGCTTTCTTCTCCCTCAGTACTCACATGCTCATTCTATGTGTATCTGAGCTCTAATCTCTTCTCAGAAGGACACCACTAATATTATATTAAGACCAACATATGTGACCCCATTTTACCTTAATTACCTCTTTAAAAGCACTATGTCCAAACGGTTTCACATTCTGAGGTGCTGGGAGCTAGAACTTCAACATATGAATTTGGAGGGCACAGAGTCAGCCCACACCCTGAGCACTTGGACTAAGTCTAATCTAACTATCAGATTTTTCAAATAAATAGCCAATAAATTCCTTTTATTTTAAATCAGTTTGAGATGGTTTTCAACTTGCATGTAACTCATAATGTCCTTCCTGATATAGCACCATAATAATATTGGCATTTTACAGTAAGCATGTCAAACTCCCGGCCTGGGCACTGCATGTGGGCCACAGCGAATATTTGTGCGGCCCAGCCCATATAACAGTATGTAAGAAATGTTTTAATAATAATTTAATAACTTAATTTTTACAATATCCTGTTACACATAATTATTAATAACGAACTACAACGTTCACTAGTGACTGACTACTGTAATCGTGTTGCATTCATTTCCCTTATGCACAGGCACACCATTTCTCTCCACTAATACTAGCAGCGAATATTTTAGCACCCAATTGCCATATCATTAGTCTTGGACTGACTTTTTTGGTGTGCACAACAGGAAATATTTTGCTTTCAGAGAACAAGAAAAATAGGTTTGTGTTATGCTTATTAATTTGTGCAGTTACTCAGTGTCTGGTAAGTTAATGTTCAAGAAAAAATATTAATTTTATTAAAATGTTCTATTATTTTAGGTGAACGATGACTTATTTATTCCAGCCCTTTTTTTCCAGCATGTCTCTATGGAAATAAACCTACATTCCTATGAAAATTGAAGCTTTTGTTTTTCTGTGGCCCACATAAACTTAAACCTTGTTTATTTGGCCCCTGTTAGCCTTTGAGTTTGACAGGCTTGTTTTACAGGATTATGGTGTACTATGGACGAAAAATTATAAATAACAAAAAAGGATATAAAAAAGATTCAAAATGGATGCCATTTTTTGCAAAACTAGATATGGTTTGTTATACGTTGCAATTACATTCAAGAATAACTCTCTAAGTTAAGCCTTATTTTTCCCAGATTAGGTCTGCAAATCTAAAAGAAGCCTATCCCTGCTTTCAGGAAACTCTTATTATGGGGATTTCTGTGTATGTGTATACAAAGAATTATGTCTGTGTGTTGTGATTGGGTAGAGGTATATAATTGGGATTGTGTGTTTGCTAATATGCCTATCTGCAAATATCTAGAGGAAATGTGCATATGAATGCACGTACATGTATTTGTGCATGCATATAAAGGGTTTCTGTAGCCATATAAGTTTCGAGAAAGGTAAGGTATTTCTGTGTGAATATGTGTGCATGCAAAAATGTGAGGAATGTGTTAAGAATGGAAAACCACTCCGGCAGGGAATTGAGGGGTGGAGCTACAGAACCAGGGAGGGTGGAGGTGGGGAGGGGAAGAAGAAAGGAGTGCCAACAGGTCACACAGGTACGAATTTGGGAACTGGGGAGAAGTCGAGGCTCTTTTCCTAGGCAAGAAAGGATGCCGGTGCAGTGAATAGCAAGACGGGGAGGCCTCTTTACTGAGCGAAAACTAAGAGGATATTCTCATGCGGAAAGGGGGAGGAGACTGCTGCAACTGTAGCGACTGGTGGGATCCCAATGTGGCAGAGGGGCCTCTGCCGCCGACCTGAGGCTGAGGGTCCGCAAGCACAGCGCGCTTGCTGGAGACGCCGCCGCCATCCTCTTCGCCGCCCGCCCCGCCGCCCTCCTGGACGCGCCCCCGGTGCACCGACCCTCTCCAAGCAGCTCTTGCAAGCTCGCGGCTCGCCGCCCGCTCATTCTCCTTCCACGCGGGCTCACCGCGAAGGCAGGAGCGAGGTGTCCGATTTGGGCACGTGAGGCCCGCTCCCCGGAGGTGGACGCCAGGCAGGCGAGGCTCTTGGTGGGTACCAGGTGGGAAAGAGAGTGGGGTGCACTCGCGCAGGAGACGGGAGCGGGTACTGGGGGGCGGGGGGCGGAGGCTGAGTCCCAGGGAGGCTGGGGTGCTCGGGCTGCAGGACAGTGAGCGCCCGCGGGTCAAAGGCGGGGAGGGACGGGCGCTTTGCAGGGGGGTGAGAGCGGACAGCAGGGGCGGGCGGTGCAGGCAGGGGCTGGGAACCGGGACGCAGCCTGTCCCCCGCTGCGGAGTCCTAGCCCCGCCAGCCCCGCGGCCGCCGCTGCCCTTCGCGCCGCCGAAAGGAGCCCAGGACAGAGAGCGCCTGCAGGCACGCAGCCAGGACTGCCAGCGCTGGCTACAGGCGCACAGGGGAAATGTAGTTGCAGCGCAGGGTACAAAGAGATGTCGCTGCCTGGAGAACGGCACCTTAGGGCATATTCCGCGTCCCCCTACATTCTCTCCTCTTGTCTTCCCCGCTCCCGCTGGCTGCAGGCATGGAGACCCCCAGCGCACAGGAAGCCGCAGGGCAACAAGCCAGCGCGCAAGCCAGCGCACCGGCGGGACAGGCCACTGGCTCTGCGAACACCAACACCGTGAAGAAGAGAAGCTGCCCAAAGAAGCAGCGGGGCAGACCTTCGTCCCAGCCCCCCAGGAACATCGTGGGCTGCAGGATTGCCCACGGATGGAAGGAAGGCGACGAGCCCGTCACCCAGTGGAAAGGGACCGTTCTGGATCAGGTGCCTATAAACCCCTCTCTTTATCTGGTGAAATATGACGGGATTGACTGTGTCTATGGACTCGAACTTCACCGAGATGAGAGAGTTTTGTCTCTTAAGATTCTCTCGGACAGGGTGGCATCATCTCAGGTCGCTGATGCAAACCTTGCCAACACCATCATTGGCAAAGCGGTGGAGCATATGTTTGAGGGCGAGCATGGTGCTAAGGATGAATGGAGAGGGATGGTGTTAGCCCAAGCGCCAGTCATGAGATCGTGGTTCTATATCACCTATGAGAAAGATCCTGTGTTGTACATGTACCAGCTTCTGGATGACTACAAGGAAGGAGACCTGCGCATCATGCCAGAGCCCAGTGAGCCTCCTCCAGCCGAGAGGGAGCCGGGAGTTGTAGATGGCCTGATAGGCAAACATGTGGAATATACCAAAGAAGATGGCTCCAAACGGATCGGCATGGTCATTCACCAAGTGGAAGCCAAACCCTCTGTGTACTTCATCAAGTTTGATGATGATTTCCATATCTATGTCTATGACTTGGTGAAAAAGTTCTAAGTGTTAGTGTAGAATTTGCCACATTTGTGAAAGCGAATGTATAGTTTGTGGATTTGCAAAACGATGTTGTTTTCAGTGTGTTGGAGCTTAAGGGTCCTGTTGATTTAGCATTGTTGCCAGCATAACTGTTGTTTGTTCTGAAAAATACAAATGTGTGTGGACATGACATGCCGTGTGGAAGGACTTTATCATGTTGAAGAGACTGGGTGTGTTGGGTGGATGGGCATGAAAGGAAGGGACAGCTGTAGATTCAGGCTGTGAATAAAGTGCAGCTAGCATCATAATCAGTCATCTAAAAATGGAAGAGGACTTAGCTGGCCTGGCCTAGGAAGGAGGGAGGAGAAGGAACTAGAGATGGGCTGTGGGGGGAGGGCAAAGGGGAGGTTACTGCTTAGGAAGAAGTGGGGAGGGCCAGAAATGGAGGGGCTTCCTGGGGGGAGGGATGTCTTAGCAGGGGGCGGCACCCAACTGGGAGGAGATGAGAATAACAGAGGGAGAGGGAGCTCTTGGGGCTTAGAGGAAAACAGACTGAATAGCTTGAGTAGAGAGGGGCACAAAGAATCTCAGAAGAGGTCCAGGGCTAGGGGAGAAAGACAAAGTTGGCAGGGATTTGGGGAGAGGCTAAAGGATACTTACTCTGAGGTAGGACCTGTGCATGTGAGGACCAAAGGGCCAGGGATACTGAAGAAGGAGGAATTCCAAGAAGAAAGACTGACCAAGGGAGTGAGCTGCAGAAAAAGAGGTGTGGGGAGTGGGGCCCAGGAGAGATGGGAAGGCCCAGGAAAAACTTGCACTTCTGACATGTCCACGTTGCTGTCCCTGGCTCTGGGCACAAAGGATGAAGCAACTGAAAGAAACCAGGTGGCTTGCAGGTTCCCTGGACGGGTATTTTGACAGGGATGACTCAAGGGTCAAGCAGGAGCCAGGTTTATACCTGAAAGTCTTATTTCAGGGACTTCATGCCACAACTGCAGAGCAGAACCCCTGACCCTCAGCCTAAACACACTGGCATTGTGCATTAAGCATGTGGCTGTGGGTGGCCTCATTGCTCAGAGGACCCAGGTGCAACAAATCCTGGACCTGAAGGTCTTGGTTCCTTACCCTACACCAGTGGTCGGCAAACTCATTAGTGAACAGAGCCAAATATCAACAGTACAACGATTGAAATTTCTTTTTTTTCTTTCTTTTTTTTTTAAATATATTTTATTGATTTTTTACAGAGAAGAAAGTAGAGAGATAGAGAGTCAGAAACATCGATCAGCTGCCTCCTGCACATCTCCCACCGGGGATATGCCCGCAACCCAGGCACATGCCCTTGACCGGAATCGAACCTGGGACCCTTCAGTCCGCAGGCCGACGCTCTATCCACTGAGCCAAACCGGTTTTGGCTGAAATTTCTTTTGAGAGCCAAATTTTTTAAACTTAAACTATATAGGTAGGTACATTGTTATTAATTAGGGTACTCCTAAGGCTTAGTAAGAGCCACACTCAAGGGGCCAAAGAGCCGCATGTGGCTCGTGAGCCGCAGTTTGCCGACCACTGCCCTACACTGTCCAAACAATTGCTTTGGGAAAGGGTTGGTGGGGCTCTCAGTTCTGAAGAGCTGTGCCCTGTTGCATTTGGAAAGTATTTTATCCACAAAACTGGAACCTTGCAGAACCCAGCAGCATCTGTCCCTTCATTGTTCTTTCTCTGGCTGGACTGAACCTTGCTTCCTTCAGAGGAGGGACATCAGAGGATTGTGCCTCTTGTTTCTCTCCAGGGCACGGGCATGCCAGTCCAGACTTCTCATAGTTGGCTTCAGTCCATGCCTCACACAGGTGGCTCCAGCCAGTGCCCACCAAGCTGAGGTCTGCTGTCCCCAGAAGCCCCATCTGTTGGCTGTATCCCAACAGGTGGGCTGGCTACTGACTTCTCCCGGAACTGCTGGCCAGTTTTGCCCGCCCAGGCACAGGGGGACCAGTGCTGGGAGTTAGTGGGGCTGTGTTTCCAGGTGAGCTATATGGCATGGGCAGTCAGGCTGGGATCCGTGGCTGGGTGTCACTCACTCCTTCGGCTCTGTGTTGCCACAGAGAGGTGTAGTGCTTGTTGGTGTGAGGCTGCAGTAACCCCAATAAAGTCCCTCAGGGATATGGTGTCCTGACACATGGGACCTTCTCTTCCTCTCTTCCTTGCCTTTCCCTAGTGCTGCCATGGAAGGTCCCCTTAAAACCTTCTCTCTGTTTCACTCCTTCCACCCTTCACCAAAATATGTCCTTGTCCTGAAAGGAAGAGATTTTGTGACTACCCTTTGCCCAGTTTTCCTAAAAAGTAGGGAGAGGGGGAGGTAGGGAGTGACAAGAGTTGAAAAAGTAGTAATACCTATTCATTCTACACCCAACATGACCTGAACCGTTTCCTTCAAGAATGACAAAAGTCAAGCCCACCTAGCCAAAGCAGGGCTTAATTTTCTTTCATATAGCACACAATTTAGTCCTACAATCACCTGTAGGACACACATGAGCCAATTTCAGTGGGCAGTCATTTTTCATTTTGATCTTCCTGTTTTTTTCTATGTTTAACTCACTACCTGGACATTTGGAAGGTTTCATATTTTAAAAAAATTATTATTTCTGGCCCACCTAAAAAAACCCCAGTAAACTGAGGATTATGGTCCACATTCCAACAAGGATACAGCAGCTGGGTCTGAGGAAGGGCTCAGCCCATTATAGACTCAGATGCTCCCTCAAGGTGGCCAAGCCCCCAGCTGGCCTGCTTCACTCTAATGAATACAATTGCCTAGTTGTCCCCTGGAGGCATTAGTGTGTGTAGCTTTGAGGCAAGACCCAGGGAAAACTGACTAACTCCCCTTTTGGCTTAGTTTGACCCCATTTTGTGTTTGTTTTAGCTTCATTGCACCAATAGTAAGGACAGGTAGTTCTCCGCCAGGCTGACTTCTAGGCACAGGCACTTATGATGTGATAATGATCAAAAGAAACAAATAAAATAATCCTACCCTCGTGGAACTTTCATTTTAATGTGCCAGACATTAGCCAAGATACAATAAATAAATCAAAAGTATTTTCAAAGTGGTAAATGTTAAGGAGGAAAATAAGGAGGAATGGGTAGTGAAAATTCCAGACAGGAGTCTGAAATTGATTAGATACGAAGGCCCGGGAGAGCCGCACTGAGAACATGGCTTTTGAGTAAAGACCTGAAGGCAATGAGAGGACTGGCCCTGTGCAGAAGGAGAATTCCAGGTACAGAGACAGCAAGTGTGAGCCCCCAAGGCACTTGTGTCTGCCATGTTCTAGAGACACTGAGGATACCAGCAGGGCTGGAGCTGGAGTGACTGAAGTAGTGAATATCAAGAAGTGAGTTCAGATAAATGCCAACTAAATAGAACCAAAGGTGAAAACAAGTGATGGGGATCTGGGAGAAGCAGATAGCGTAGAGCCTTGGGAGTGCTAGAATGAATTTGGCTTTTCCCCTGAGTGTGATGGGGAACTATTTGGTTCTTTTTAGCAGAGGTATGATGCGATTTGTCTCATATTTTAACAGGTTCACTCTGGAAACTCTGAAAAGTAGCCTGTGTGAGGTGAAAGGATGGAAAAAGGGAGGTCAATTTGGGATTATCCAGTATTCTAGGTAATTGACAATGGTGGTTTAAATTTCAGTCTGGTGACAGTGGGTGTGATAAGAATTCTGGATTCTGGCTATATTTTGAAGCATAGCTCCATAATTTGACCTTAGACAAGATATCTGGTGGAAGAGAAATACAGCGGGTGTCAATGACAACTGTACATTTTCTTTTTCTTTTTTTTAATTTTTATTGGGGGATGCGGGGCGCAGGGCTGGGATCAGGCTCCCAGGTGAGCCCAAGTGGCGCCAAAGGAACCCCAGGCCAAGTGCCCCAGGCTCTGCTGGGCTGGGGGGGAAGGAGCGAGGGAAGTGGGGAGGGAGGGATCGAGGGGTGGGCAGGGACCCAACTGTACATTTTCTGATATCCTTGAACCACACAACCTCCTCCAGATAAAAGCTGAACGATTTGGATTCTTATTGCTTTTGTTTGGGTGTATAATGCTGATGAAGTGGCCTACCAGAGCGTGAAAAACTGACAAAAAAACCCCCAAACCCAACTGTGTAAATTGTTACTGTAATGTTCACCCCCTTGGAATGTTCCCTACCTTTCTATTCAAACCAGGTCAGAATTAAAGGGTGCTATCATTGTAATAGGGAGCAGGTACCCCAAACAGTACCTGTCATGGATTAAAACAGTTAGTACAGAATTTAAAATTATTGGGTGTTCAAAGGAGGCAGAATTCAGACAGGCCGTGAACTAACACTGTGTCTGGATAAAGGACAGATGCCTATATGCATGTGGAATTTTTAAAAATGCATTTTCCAGATCACAACCCATTTTCCATTCCCAGGGACAAGTCATATTGTCCTTTCTAAGTATAACTGAGTTAAAATGGAGTGAGTATGAGATTAATGATTAGTTATTAGTGATGGGATTACACAATCAGCCTTGGTTTGCCCATGCATTACTGTTAAAGGAATATGGTCAGTCTCCCAGCCATTTCCTCCAGGTCATTATTGGAGACAATTGCAAAGTGCAATTTTGGAATGCCAAAATTTTCCTTTCCTTTCTTAGAAATAGTAACCATTGTCCTGTTTGTTTTTGGTTTTTTGTTGTTGTTGATTTTTTTTGTTTTTCCTTAGGGAAGGAAAAAGTGGTAAGTGTTAAGGAGGAAAATAAGGAGAAACGTTGTTTTTTTGTTTTTCCTTAAGGAAGTGGCACTAGGTCTTGCCATACTTGCAATGGATATACCTTCTCTTCCAGATTGAAATTGTGCCACAGCTCAACATAAAGTTCAATTGCGGTTTCAGAGGACTAATAAATAAAAACCCCTTTTCTCTTTGCAAGTTTTGTAACCATCTGAGAGAAAGGCACAATCATCACAAAAATGGAGTTCCAAATAACTCCTTTGTATTCAGAAAAGCCGGATTGGGAGGACATCCTTTGCTATGAGACCCCAAGGACTTCCTCATACGTCACACAGTCACAGGCAGAGCTAGATAACTGCAGGTCTC